AAAAAAAAAAAAAAAAAAAAAAAAAAAAAAAAAAAAAAAATCAATCCCAGCTTTTTTGAGATTAGTTAACTGAGTTGCAAAGCATCAGACACCTAAGAATGAATGAGTCCCCAGATACAACTCCAAAAGGAACCAAAACAGCTCAGCTGATGCAGTTTTAAAATGCTACTTCACTCTCAAGAAGAGATCAGGTCTCAGGCAATGCTGTGTAAAGTGAATGACCAGACAGACAAATTGAAGCCAGTTATTTAAAATGTGTGACAGTATGAAGGACATGCATCTGCTCAAACAACCGAAACCCAGCTTTTATCCTATAATCACATTCTTTATAGAAACATGCTCAGAAAAGATTTGGAGAGCTTTAGAGATTCAGGCAGTCCTTGCTCAGCACTGCAGGGAGGTGGACCTGGACTCCATGCCAGTAAGTAGGGGTGGGTGGGGGATGCCGGAGGAGGGGTGAGGGGACCATGGGGAGACTCCCGCCAGGCCCCATCCCCTGCTTGCTCCCCCAACCTCCCCAAGTGCCCCCGAACCCCTGCTCGCTCTCCCAGTCCCATCAATGGCTGCCCCATGTGGCCCCAGCTCTTTTTTTTTTTTTTTTTTAAAGCCCCACACACACCAGCTGCTGCAGCGGCCTTTGGGACTTCTGGGGGCTCATGGCAGACCCAAACATGCAGCACGGGGTAGCACAGACCGCCCCTGCCCCACCCTCTCCGCAGGTGCCAGGCTTTAAAAAAGGGCCAAGACATTGGGACTGGGTGGAGCAGCCACTGACAGGGCTGAGAGTAGATGGGAGATGGGGCCTTTTTGATTAGGAGATTCAGCCAAACCGATTCGGGACAGTGATTCAAATCACCAAATCAAATCACTGTCCCCCGAACTGGCCAAATCCGAATTGAATACTAGCCACTTAGTTTCATAGTTTCTAGGGTCGGAAGGGACCTGAGAAGATCATCTAGTCCGACCCCCTGCCATGGCAGGAAAGAGTACTGGGGTCAAACGACCCCAGCAAGGTGTTCATCTAACCTCTTCTTAAAACCCCCCAGGGTAGGAGCCTGCACCACCTCCCTTGGAAGTTGGTTCCAGACCCTAGCCGCCCCGACCGTGAAGTAGCGCCTTCCGATGTCTAACCTAAATCTACCCTCTGCCAGCTTGTGACCATTGTTCCTAGTCCCTCCTGGCAGTGCTCTGGGGAACAGTGACTCCCCCAATGCCTGCTGATCCCCCCTGACCAGTTTGTAACAGGCCACAAGATCCCCCC